CTGAGCCCTTGGCAGCAGCTGGCCCAAGCAGCAAGGTGGCAGCTCTGTGCCTACGTGCCATACAGTTCCCCACTTCAGCATTTGGTCTGTCCAGGTACCCGTTTGTACCCACCAAGTGCTGACCTGGTGCTGCCGGCTGAGCTGATACCCACCAGCATACAGCTGTGAACTGGTGCCAGCGTGAGCAGGGTGCTGGTCTGAACTGGCCTCAAATCAGCGTCACAGATAAAGGTTTTCTGTGCCCTGGCCGAGATGGCTGAAACCAGATTCATGTTTTCTCCATTGCACTCATGCTGCCAAGTGCGGTTTTCTCTGCTAAATTGTTTCGTATGTCGGAGTAATTCTGGATCCAAATGAGTGTTAAAATAAACCTGGTTTGATTCCTTCACTTTAAGTCTTTTTGGGGAGGGGAGGAAGACCTGAAGCCAGAAAAGATGATGGCTGGAGGTCTGCCCAAGAAAAGTAGAAAAAAAAAAAAGAAAGTATTTTAACTTTTAGAATACTACATTTAGTTACCATGTTTCTGACTCCGAGTGAACTGTCTATACAGCATCTTTAGTTTTGCTGAAGACAATGTCAAATTGGACTGTGCAGTTCCTTCAGCTTGGGTCTGTGGCTGATGCTCTTGACTGTTTGCTGCTACTGTACAGTGAGTGGTGAGGGGCTCAAGATAGGTCCTGGGTCATAATTCAGAGATGAGGGTTACCTGATGCAGTATAAACAAGTTCAGCAATCAGTTAACTCAGCCAATTTAAATTTTTAGATGCATCCATGCCCTCACAGGTAGGATTTTATTCGCCCCAAGCAGATTCTGGAAAGGGACTGGTAGACACGTTCTGGTTTTTTCTGAAAGGATCTAGTAGGTTTCCTTCCCAACTGTCTTACCTTTCTTCTTTGCCTCCTTCCCTTGATTGAATACTAGAATGTTACTTTTCATCGAAGCTAAGGTAACTGAAAATGCTGCAGAAAGATTTTGCTATTGCAACATGAAGATGATGGAAGTGTCTCAGAAATGTACATTGTTGAGGACTACAAACTTTGCCTTTAACACTCGGGCATGTTCTAGAATTAAAAAAAAAAATAAGGAAAATTGAAAATGTTACAGAAGATCCTTGAGCCTATTGCTTGGCCAGTGTGGATTGGCAGTGGCGGTTCCTCCACCTGATAGTAACTGACTGGTGTGAACAGGAGGAGGAGGCACATGTGTTGGTGGCGACTGGTCTTGGCAAAAGCAAAGTAATGCTTAATATTTTGCAAGGGGGACTTTCGAGACTTGTCTCTAGGTCCTACTTCCATCCATCATAGAGGCAAACGCTCTGCTCTAACAACAGATGGACATACTAGTCCAGCTGAGAAGTTCTAAGCCTACTGAAATGGTTGAAAATAGCTGTGAAACGGGATTTTGCATCGCAGAAGCTTGAGATGGCGAGATCTGTTTGATCACCAGACTCTGTGCTGTCGTCAGCAAAAGCTTGAGGTAGTCTCTCAGGGGAGGGTCCGTCCTGCCACATATTCATGGGAAATTGGTGGTTGCATCTGAAGCTAGTTGACAAGAAGACTGAATGGTGAAATGGTGTAATTTGAGTGAAGGAACACTATCGTGGTGCCAGGAGTGCTATTGCTCCCCACTTAAGGTTTTGGAGGAAAACTGTGACTTATTTTTTACTGCTTCTGCTTCTCTATAATAGAACAGGTTCCTGTCTACTGTGATTTTGTCATTACGGACTAGGCCAGCATGAGGCTTACAGTGAAATCCGACAGTTACGTTGTTTAGAAAATCTCCCTAAATTAGAAGAAATCAGAAATTGTGCCCACGTACGTAGATCAGTGAGTTCCACAGCAGAACCTTCCTCCTGAAAAAGCAGCATCTCTTGCGCATGGCTTTCAAGCTTAGCGGTTAGCTTGTAAGACCCAGATTTTCAGGCCTGACTTTGTAAGGAAAAGGAACAACAAGTTTACTTCTTAGAGTGATATTTGAAATTATTTTCTACGTTTCTAGAATCCCTTAGTCTTACAGGCCCTACGGAGGTAGGAGGTCAAAGCACGGATTTCTAGGATTTCTAGCTACAGCGTTTGTATGTTGGTTCTGTAAGTCCAGAGAGAGGAACCAGTCTGGTGAGTGTGTGCGAATGCCTCTGCTTGTGGTCGTACTGGTTATTCGGTTAAAAAGGGCAGAAATTTGCATATTCACCGTGCTGTGAACATATGGAGTTAGCTGTTATAATTCCCCCATTCTTTTCTGAGTTTACTAGATTGTAGCTGAGGATTCAAGTTTGGTACCGCCCCAGTGGGACCCAGCACTACTTTCTCAGAGCAGGAGAGAAAACATGAAAGCATGAGTCCCTCGATAAGGGGGACAAAAGCCAAAAAGACAAAAGCCAGTGCCTGATTCTAAGTACCCGAACGGCTGCGTGCATGAGGGACTATCCGTGTGCTTTACATTAGAAACATTAACCAATTCCATGCTGAGGTAAGGTCCTGTACTTTATCCACGGCAGAGCTTTCCCATCTGTCGGTGGAGATGTCTGATATCAAGGGCTCTTTCTAGCCCCTCACAGGAGTCTCTCTTAGTGAGTTGAATTCATGAATGATATTATTACAGCTGCAAGTGGAATTTGGATGTTCATAAAAGTACTTTGCACAGTACTTTGGCATCCATGAAAAACTAGCTAGAGCCCTGTGACCTGACATTTCCCCTTGGAAAAGAACCCAGTTCTTTGGTGTTTTTAATACAAAGACAAGAAAAATCTTAGTGCTTGTGCACCTCATGAAGAAAATCCCTTATCAGCAAAGTTTCTCCTGCATGTTCTGCTCAGATTGAAGCAAGCTGTTTTCCTAAATATTTAGTGTTCAAAAGTAGCCCATATGTTGAAATTCAGAGGAGTCCATTTACGTCCCAGTTGGCTGGCTGTCAAGCTGGCTGCTAAAATATATTATGATTCAAAATGCTAAATGCTTTCTCTAAAAGGTTGGTGGTTGGAAACCACCCTTCAAACCAAGGTCATCGGCATCTTTCAACAGTAAACTTCCCCAGTCTCTAGAGAAAAATAATCAAACACTTGTTCACTTTTAATGAAGCCGACAGTTCATGGGGAGAACTGGTTCTGTTTATTAGACCTCTGATTTACATGATAACTAAGAAAATGCTCTGAAAGCAGCCATTTATTAAACAGAAATGAAATTTTGGCTTTTGAAATGTGCCTAGTGCTTTGATTATTTTGGCATAACATCGATAGTTCTCAAAATCTACCTTTTATTTCAAGCAAAATTTCAGTTGCATCTTCTAAAGGACTGCAATGTACTGTATCTCAAAGGAGCATTATCAATATGCTTATGCTTCCAGTCAGATCTGTTCTCAGCTGCTTAATCATAGAGGAAACTACCTGGACTGTCTGTATCTACATTTATTTTTTGTTGTTGTTTTTAAGTCAGGAATACAGACTAGTTGAAGCAGCAGTTGAGGATAACCCATGAAAAATTTAATAGTGCTACGTATGGACCTTGCTAGTGGCATAGTGCAGAATCAGCTCCTGAATTACATTCAGGAAGCTAAAAATGAAGTAAATACTATCTATATATTAACTCTATGTGCAAAGAACCGAGAGAATTGTCCGCAGTGTGATGTGATTAGGAGCATTTGAGAACATCTGGTCTAAAAATCCCTGTCAGATCTCAGTAGGTTGGTGTCGTTGTTGATGCTTGTGAACAATGTAAAAGAAAGCCTTGACCATTTTAACCCCACAAAGGTCTCCTTGAATATTTTTCTGCCAGAACTTTTTCCACAAGGAAAGTCTGTTTCTAGGGGGAATATAGTGAATTTGCCCAGACTTCACTGAGTATTGGTATTCTGGGAAAGAATTAAGAATTGTGATTGTGCAGAAATAGTTGTAAATAATGCATTTTTAAAGCAAAATGTTTTCGACCTGTTTGAAAACACCTTTGCTTTCTGAAATGCATTTCATTGTATGCAGAAAAGTAGTAAAAGTAGTGTTAAAAGCGAAACTGGAAGAAAACATTCTGCTCGACAGTCTCAGAAGAATTTAATTAAACTCAGCTGAAAAAATACTGGCATACAGAAAAAGATTTTCATTAAAAGTTCTGCTCTAATTCTGAGTAGTAAATAAAATTTTAGATTCTAGAATTCATACAAAAATTCTAGCATCTACACAGGGTAAACACAAGGGTGGTGGTTTGCAAAAATTAAAGGACAAAACTGATGGAAGATGAGTTCTTAGTTACAAACTTCACACACTTTTAAAGATAAAGGAGAACAATAATAAACCCCTTTGGCTTGGCCTATAAAGTAGTGAAATCTGTGGAGCCATCTCCACTGACCTTCATGTGCCCTGGCTGACGTCCTTCAAAAATTTAGAAGCAATTTTTAATTGAAGTGTGAAGAAGTAAATAAGCTCTGCAGGACCTTCTTGTTTTGGATGACTACTTTGACTAGAAGGATAAAGGCTAACCTTGAATTTAGAGTATAAGCAAGCTGAAATTCCCAAGTGTCCAT